GGTCGCCGCTCTTATCCCCTTCAGCTCGAGCGCCCAGATCGCAGTACCAAGCTCCCTCATCGTCGCCTCTCTCCGCCGTGTTCCTCCGCCTCAACAGCGCCGACCACTCGCGACGACCTTAGCCTCCGCCCCTTCTCCCCGAATCCGAGCACCCCTTGTAGCACTGTCCGTCGCTCTGCCTCGGTTAGATCCGTCATGCTCGTGCTGCTCGAGCCGCCGACCCGCCGGACCCGCTGCCCGCGTCGGTCGCAACCTCGCCTGTCGAGCCACCAAAGTCATCACTGTCAATTTCAGATCGACGTCGTGCTGCACCCCCATCTGATCCAGTTGCCTCGTCATCAAGACCCGTGGTCTCGCATGGGAAGATTCCGCTCTCCTGTTTCGTAGTTTGATTATTTACATTTTTTATGAATTATTTACGTAGTTTAATTATGACGTATTTATCTGCGTGGGTTGTTGCTGAAGAATATTGATCTGAATAATTGATATGTGATAAATAGTGTTTTTGGAATAATTATAATGAATTAAAAGAATTTAATTCGACAAAAGAATCATTTTTAGATAATTATAATAATTTAAAAGAATTTATTTTGGAAAATGAATTAGTTTAGATTAATTGTTAAGCGAAATAATTTAAAATGAATTAAATTTAGAAAAAGATTATTTTCTGATTATGTAGATGTTGTTTATGATTTATAATTCTTATTTTGATTATTTAATATGCTATGATATTATTGCACATGATTTGTTGCATTGATTGTTTCATGTTGTGATTGAGAATCATTAGGAGTTTATGACTATAGTGACCCGTATGACACAGTTAGGATCTAGAATCCCGTGTGTAGTTGACCTGGAATTACGAGAATTGGGATGAGAAGTCTTGGTCCATGTGAGTGGTTGTGATTGTTGATGTATATTCCGGGCTCGCGCTGGTGAAGTTTGTGTAGTCACCGGGGTGGGTCCGAGGAGTTGTGATATTGTGATTGTGATTATTTTCCAGGCTCGCTCCAGTGTCTTGTTTCGGCCTGGGGTGGGTTTGAGGTGTGCGGTGTTATCGAGATTATTGATTGTTTTCCAGGCTCGCGCCAGTGTCTTGTTTCGGCCTGGGGTGGGTCTGAGGTGAGGTGATATCGAGATTATTATTTGTTTTCCAGGCTCGCGCCAGCGTCTTGTTTCGGCCTGGGGTGGGTCTGAGGAGCAGAGATATTGAGATTGTTGATTATTTGAGATGAGTGATGTGATAGTTAGTTACCTGACCACGATTCTTGGCTAAGTATGATTCTTGTGAGATGTAGGCCGGTTGTACTCCTTTTCATACCTAGATCGGGTTAATATTTAATTATCTATAATTTGAGACATATGGTATATACATGAGGGTTTCCTTGATTGGATTATTTCGCTCGACGTACTACGTCTCGAGATGTAGATTTTTAAGTATTAATTCCATCTAGTGTATGAACATGTTACTTGGATGATTATTTTGATCGCTAGCTGCATGATTTCGTTACCCGGTTGATTTACGGATTCTTATGACTATCATGTTTTGGTAGTGGATTTCATGTTGATTTATGGGGATTCTCAGTTGTACGTCCTTTTATCATTTCTATTATTGTATCGATTTCCGTTTTGGTTTCCGTTCGTTCATTTCTTTTCTGCTTGGTCATTGTATTTTACATTTCTCCAGCACTCATTTGTTCAGATATGTATAAGGGTACGTTTGACCCATATTTTTATGTCTGGGATGATTTACCATTGATGATATGTTTATTTCTTATTCTGGGTTGTCTTTATATTCTTGCTATGTGTGATCGGGGACCTGTGACTTCGTATTGTACTTATTTCCAGACGCTTAGCGTATTAGATTGAGAAGACGAGGTCTAGCACTTATCTCTTCTCAGTCTAATACGTCGCGGGCTTGTTCACGTTCCGATTCCCCGGTATTTTGGGAAGCGGGGCGTGACAAACACGGTCAAAGTAATAATCACTCAAATGACCCTTCCGATTGCAATTTATGCAATGAAAGAGATCCATTTGCTTATGTTGACCAAACGGTTGTACACGAGACTCATTTGCAAAAATAGATTGTTCTTTAAAATTATTTTACAAATGGGAAACTCTCTTCAAATCAAAACAAAACTTGGTCAAATGACCAAATCTACCATAATGATCACACTTAAACTTTTGTGGTCTTTTAAAATCATTTGGCAAAAGTGAAGTCTTTTTCAAATCATAGCAAAATTTTGCCAAATGGCCAAAACGTCCACAAAGATCACATTTAAACACATTAGCATGTTTATGATGTGCATGATAAGCATATGTATGTGTATGTGATGAAGAAGCTACATGAGATGCACAATGAGCATTAGCATTGTTATGTTTCTGTGCATCATAGCAAAATCTAGCAAGATGGCCTTTACGACCGCAAATAGAGCATTTGTAAACGTTGCTATATATGTGTGCATAATGAGTGGATGATGACTTAGACTTGGCACACATATCCATAAGCCTCTTATGATTATTAATGCATGTTTTCAAAGTTGAATCTAAAGATGAAATGCATTTATTCATAAGATTCAAATCTTTATTTTTAGGCTGAATCTAAAGATGAAATGCATTTATTCATAAGATTCAAATCTTTATTTTTAGGCACATATGCATTAGAAATAGAACATAAATAGTTATTTATAAAGAAAGCAGTATCATTTTGTATGTTCTCTACTTCTAACATGGTATTATTTTTGTTATGAGTCAAGTTAGCAATATTCAATTTTAAATTATTATTTTCCAAATTTAACATATCATTGTTTTCTTGAAGAGCAATACTTTCTTGAGAAATGATATCAAATTTGGAAGCTAACTTCTCATGATCGGATTTTAAATCTTCATGCTTACTTTGCAAATCAATAAAATTTTTATGCAATATGTTATAGGCATGTAATAATTTTTCACTAGCACAAGCAAGTTCATCATTAGGTAAATCATTAATAGATTCGAACTCGCAAACCTCACTAGGACTATCGCCTAGTGGCCGTGTGCATGAACTTGAAATCGGATCCTCCAAAGCTTGTTGGATCGCCTCCAAGTCCCATTGATGTGCTTCAATAAATTTCTATAAGGTGTAAACACTATAAAAATGAACAAACTTGTTAGACGTAGATGAATCAAGAGCATTTAGCAAATATTCTAACAAAATATTGTTCATTGTAAACATGCGATGATCATTTGTATTCCACTTGGATTTCTTCGTAGTGGGCACAATATAAGCATCATCTATAATTTCCCATAAATCAAAGTGTTTAGATTGAACAAAAAGTTTAAATCTAACACACCATTGAGCATAGAAAAAATTATCTAATCTAGGAGCAATATTGATGGCATAACCTAAACAAGATGCATCGTTCAAATCCATAATGTATATATGCAAGCAAGATACAAAAATAAAATATTGGATTAGCACAAAAAGATAACTTGGATCTTTAACGTGACCGGCGGGAGTGCCATTACAAGGATTTTGCAGATATATATGCATGTTTGATGTAAATTGAAAATTTTGGAATTGAATTTTAACCTTTAATTGCGGATTGACCCGAATGAAATATTTTTGCTCTTTTAACTCTTCAAGATGGAAAGGTCAAAAAATTTCACTCAGAGGGACTATCTGCAACAACAGAAGTACAAAGAGTTGATCTACAATTTGTCGGTGGCACATGTCAGTTGAATTACAAGATAAAATATCAAGTGGAGTAAGGTTCATAGCATTAAAGATACACCAGAAGAACGTGGAATAAAGATTCGCACACGGATTCAACAGTTAGTACCTGTTTAGTGCACATCTAACATCAATACTCAGATCCACCGGATACTCTCTTAAACTACAAGAGCCTATCAAGAGATAACCCTAAAAAGTATTGTGGCTTTCTTAATCACAAGGTCGATGAAATAAGTCATCAATTTTGAAAAAAAAAGTTGAAGAAAAACGAACCCACACGTTTCTCTATATTGTAGTGTAGAAGTAATATAAAAATAGTAGTGTAATTATCACCGCGCTTAAGTTAAATAGAGAGGTTTATAGAGAGGTTTATACTGCACAATAAGTGTGTTAGCTAACCCCTCGAGTTGATCGAGAGGCTAACTTATTTTAACCGCTTTACCCTTCTTTGTGTTTTTTTATGTTTTGCAAGTTAGTAAAGGTTAATTAGATTGGGATCCTCTACTAATGCATAGTGTTGCTAATATCTCCTAATAAAGAGATCTTAGCCTTTGATTTATCAATCAAAGGCTAAGATCTCATCCTTATCTTCCCTCTACTTTTGCTCATAAGGAGATCTTGGCCTTTGATTGATAAATCAAAGGCCAAGATCTCATTAGAAGATATTAAGAACCTCCTAATTAGTAGAGGATCACAATCCAGCTTAATTTGCTCTCCTCACAGTCCTCGGCCCCTTTCTTTAACCCGTAGCCAAATAACTCTTGATATGCTTAAT